AGTACCAAGAAAAATGCCCATTTACCAATTTCAACTACCTAATAATGTGATCAGAATTTTGCAAGTTGGCCAATTTCACGAAAACTAAAAAATATGACAATTTCAAAATAAGGTCAGAATCTGAACATGCAGCATTCCTGGCTCTAAAATAACATTTTCTTTGTTCATCAGTCATTGTCTCCAGGGCCCCTCTGATATTACTCTTGCTTTCTATTTTGAATTTTTATTTCAAACAAAAAATAGAAGATTTACTATTATTTCAGACTACTGCAATATTGTTAATAATTGTAATTAATAACAATCAAACATCCATGACTGATTTTAGAATGGCTAGTTGGACATTATTGGACAATGTATCATTTGTTTCTTTTGAACATTGGCAATAAATAAACTTTTCCCGTACTTTGTGCTCCATTCCAGGTTATTTTTATAGTAAAATCAATCAAATTCCCTTATTTCTATAATATGTTTCTTCCATTCTATCAAATGAGACCAATGAAAATGAGATACAACCTATAATACTATACGAAAATAGACCCCAAGTCGGCAGCTTTTTAATTAAAAAAAACGGTCGGAGTTTTTTTTTCTCATTATGCACTGCGTGCTCCAGGATTTTTTTTATATGGTGCACACTGACCACACAGAACCATTCTCTCACATGTGGGCCTACCAGCTTTCTCCTGCTTGATTTGAAACTGCTAGAATTTATGAGTATATATACGTCAAACACTGTACCTCGTAAGATGTATATATATGGCCGCGACAGTCAAAGGGTTAAAGAAGATCTGGTGATGATTGATGGGATGGGAGGAGGGGAGAGGTGTTAGTGTTTAGAAGGGGAATCCCCTTCCATTAGGACTTGAGGTAGCAAGTCCTTTTCCGGGGTTACTTCCCTTCTTCTTTTAATGCCACTAGACCAGCTTGAGAGTCACTGGACCTCTGTCGCACAACAAATCTGTCCATAGAGCTCTGTACCTCCCGTTCCTTTACGATTTGTCTAAAATGGGCCACAACATTGTCATTGTAATAGTCACCAGCACGGCTTGCAATAGCTGTGTTAAGGTGATTTCCATCCATAAAGGTTTGCACTTCAACCCACTGTGCACACATTTCCTTAATTTTTGAAGTAGGCACAATGGAGTCCACAACTGGCATAGGCTTCTCAGGGTTAGCCCCAAACCCTTCAAAATCTTTCTTTATTTCCATACTAATTCTCACCCTTTTTACCACAGGGTTGGCACTAGAAGCTTTCTTTGGGCCCATGGTGACTTATTTTGCAGAAACAAACACCAAACACAGTGATAATATGGATAATATGGAATGTACCGAATGTATCCTTAGATGCACGCACACAGGCTGGCTTGTAAACACTAGCACACACGGGGCAGTTCAGGCCACACGTGGACAGGTCTCGTACGAATAGTATTGAATACCGGGTTTTCAATCGAAAACCGAGGAAATTTTTTTGCGATATAATGCATCGAATACCGGATTTATCGAATACCGATGCCATCGAATACTGGGGGTCCACTGTATTCTTTGTCATGTAAAAGGACACAAGTGCAACTAATGTGACATTGTATTGTGGCAACGTTTTGTTCTCCAGGAACTTGATCAAGTTGTTACAAATAATACATGGACACCAAGGGTGTAGTTACATGAGTGGGTGTGAGTTGGACCTGACTAGCTTGTGCTGCTGGGTCTGGTACCGTGCTCCATTCTTGAGTGGAGGTGACCAGACTGGGTGGGTCATTGGGCTAATCTGGGGGGGGGGTCATTGGGCTAATCCGGGGGGGACATGGACCTGCTCTGCATGGGTCAGTAGGCCTGTTGCAGTGTTCCTTCTTTCTTATGTTCTTATAAGCTTAGAGTGTGGTGTAATACTAGTGGTAGTAGTAATATTAGTTGTGGTAGTAGTAATATTAGTTGTGGTAGTAGTAATATTAGTTGTGGTAGTAGTAATATTAGCTGTAGTAGTAGTAATATTAGTTGTGGTAGTAGTAGTAGTAATACAATATGGTAGAACAATCCACCTGTATATACTGTGTCCATGTATTGTTTGTAACGGCTTGACAAAGCTCCTGGAGAGCGAAACGTTGCCACAATAAAATGTTACATTAGTTGCACTTGTGTCCTTTTACTTAACATATTGTCGGTAATTTTTTATTTATCTATTTATTTAGTAATTTGAGCATACATACAGAGGTACAAAAAAAAAATACAGGTAAGAGCAGCATGCCAAAGCCACTTATATGCATAGCATTACGGGCTGGCTTAAAATTAACTTCTACCAACATTAATACATTCTGTGTCACGTATGGTAAGACTTTATTATGCCTTTAACCCTTAAACTGTCCAAACAAATCTACGTTCACATGCGTAGCGCTCCAAAAGTAGATCTACGTTTTTTACATATTTTCAAATACAGTGGACCCCCGGTTAACGATATTTTTTCACTCCAGAAGTATGTTCAGGTGCCAGTACTGACCGAATTTGTTCCCATAAGGAATATTGTGAAGTAGATTAGTCCATTTCAGACCCCCAAACATACACGTACAAACGCACTTACATAAATACACTTACATAATTGGTCGCATTCGGAGGTAATCGTTATGCGGGGGTCCACTGTATAACAAAAAAAAAAAGTTGATCAAAGTTTTTTTTACATGTTTTCAAATGTAAAAAAAAACAGAAGGTCTATGTTTTTTTACATTCAAATGTTGAAAAAAACGTAGATCTACGTTTGGACATTTTAAAGGTTAAGAAAATAAAGTCACAGTACATAAATTACCAACACATAGGAGAGAGTGAAGGTTATGGGGATGTTTTGCCTACACTTGTACCATCATTTTACAAAGCAAATGTGATTTGTAAATGGTACAAATTGGACCAAAATGTCTTCATAAGTTTCTTTCTCTGTGTGCAGGTTATTGTGTATTGTTCCATACAGTATGGTTCATCACTGTACTTGTTCCAGTCACTGTATTATTCATTTCACGTATGTTCAACTGATTGTTATTCACTGTTTGTTCAACCCTGTATATGTTCCAAATCAGTAATGTTCCTACTGTAGTTCACATGCCTGTATGTTCCAAATCACGTATGCTCCTTCACGTTGTTCACAGTATTGTTCCATCATGTAATGTTCCAATAACTGTATTGTCCATTCAACTGTATTTTCCATCTGTATTGTTCCATTACTGTATTTCCAAACTGTATGTCCATCATGAAGGTCATTCACTGTATTGTTCATTCATGTATTGTCATTCACTGTATTGTTCTTCACTGTTTGTGACGTTTTGTGCTGTCTTCTGTGCTATTTGTTAGAGTAGACCTGGTAGATTTTGTCAGAGTAGGCTGGTGATTTTGTTCATGTACGTAGATTTAGTCAGAGTAGAGTTTGGTAGATTTGTTCAAGAGTAGGCCTGGTAGATTTTGTTCAGAGCCAAGGCTTGGTAGTTTTGTTCGAGTGAGGCTTGGTAGTATTGTTCAGAGTCAGCCTGTAGATTTTGTCGGTAGGTTGGTGATTTGGTTCGATAGGCTGGTAATTTTGTTCAGAGTAGGCTGGTAGATTTTGTTCAGAGTAGGCTTGGTAGATTTTGTTCAGAGTAGGCTGGTAGATTTTTGTTCAGAGTAGGCTTGGTAGATTTTGTTCAGAGTAGGCTGGTAGATTTTGTTCAGAGTAGGCTTGGTAGATTTTGTTCAGAGTAGGCCTGGTAGATTTTGTTTAGAGTAGTGGTAGATTTGTTAGAGTAGACTTGGTAGTTTTCAGAGTAGGCTGGTAGATTTTGTTCAGAGTAGGCTTGGTAGATTTTGTTCAGAGTAGGCCTGGTAGATTTTGTTTAGAGTAGGTCTGGTAGATTTTGTTCAGAGTAGGCCTGGTAGATTTTATTCAGAGTAGGCCTGGTAGATTTTGTTCAGAGTAGGCCTGGTAGATTTTGTTCAGAGTAGGCCTGGTAGATTTTGTTTAGAGTAGGTCTGGTAGATTTGGTTCAGAGTAGGCCTGGTAGATTTTATTCAGAGTAGGCCTGGTAGATTTTGTTCAGAGTAGGCCTGGTAGATTTGGTTCAGAGTAGGCCTGGTAGATTTTATTCAGAGTAGGCCTGATAGATTTTGTTCAGAGTAGGCCTGGTAGATTTTGTTCAGAGTAGGCCTGGTAGATTTTGTTTATAGTAAGACTGGTAGATTGTGTTTAGAGTAGGCCTGGTAGATTTTGTTTATAGTAGGCCTGGTGGATCACCCATATCCCACTCTTTTTTTACTTAAAGTTTGTTATAAATGCCATTATAAAGGCGATATTTTATGAGATGTATTAAAGAATGCAGCGCTAAGTGTGGGCGATTACACGAGATGGATTTACATTGCATAGCAATGCCTGCAGGATGTTCAAGCCGCTAGTATTCAAAACCTTCTTTACCTTCCATCTCCATCCATTCCTACCTGTCCTTCCTTCCTCCAGATATGCATAATCAGGGAATGTGTGAGGGTTTGAACCATGGAAATTGGTAAAAGTCACAGGTCAGTGTGTTAACAACTGTACCAGCTGGTACACACACACACACATGCACGCATGTACAAACACATGCACACACACATGCACGCACGCACACACAACACACACACACACACATACACACAGCGAGGACCTAGTAGTGTTCAGTGAAGAGGCGGGGCCAGGAGCTGAATCTCGACCCCTGCAACCACAATTAGGTGAGTACACACACCAGCTGGTACACACACCAGTTGGTACACACACCAGCTGGCACACACACCAGCTGGCACACACACCAGCTGTACACACTAGCTGGTAAACACACCAGCATGATTGTGGTGTAATGTTATCAGAATCAGCTGGTACAGTTGTGAACACAGTGGTCTAGAGTTTTAGTGCTTGTTCGACACAGGTTGAACCCCTGTCCATTCCCTGGTTTGTTTACAGTCATGTTATTCATGAGTGAAAATATGCATAATATTGGTACTAACATGAATTTGGTTTATAGGGAACACCTGGAGTCTGAAACGGATATGGACGAGTTTGAGAAAGTTGGCGTCAGCGGTGGAAGCGATGGCGCGTTCTCCCCCATGGAGGTGGGTTGTGTCTCGATGAATGATGGTCAGGTGTATTGAATAGTACAGTGGAACCTCAAATATCGAACTTTCTTCAGTCCAGAAGGCTGTCCGAGTGCCGTTACCGAACGAATTTATTCCCATCAGGAATAATGTAAATTAGATTAGTTCATTTCAGACCCTGAAAAATACACTTATAAAAGCACTTACAAAAATACACTTACATAATTGGTTGAGTTGGGAGCAGTTCGATTTTTGAGGTTCCACTGTATTAGTAATAATAATACCACCTCTCCTCACATAACGACGGAGTTCCGTTCCTAAGATCACATCGGTAAACAAATTCGTCACTAAGTGAGGAGCATACTATAATGGTAGTGGGTTTGTGTCAACCATCTTTGATATTGTTTTAATGTCACATTTGCACCATTTATAACATTTGTATTATGTTTTTAAATGTTTATACAGTAGTGTAGTGTATATTGTAATTAATGGAAATGAGGAATTCAGCTCTAATATACATTATTTAGGTATACATACTGGTCAGAGAGCCCATCGTAAGTCTGAGTCATCGATAAATGAGTACGTCACTAAGTGAGGAGAGGCTATAGTTAGAAGAAGAGTTAGAAGAAGTTTGAACAAGAGTTAGAACTTAGAATGATCATTGTCTTTAAATATCTAATCTCTGTGTAACTACTAAATTACCTTAACAGTGATCTAAATACTCTATCAACTTGTTTTAGACATGTCTGACTTTAGTTCTGTATGAAACTCATTCCATAACTGTGACCTCTTCTATTTATGATACACTTGTATAGACCTTGTATTGAGACTGTGTGTAACCTGTTCTAACCTGTATGTAATTCTGTTTTAAATGTGCTGCTGTAATTCCTTAGAAATTGACCTTTGCGACACTTGGGTAAATTGCCATTGTGTGTTGTTGCAGGCGCTACCTGATGCCAGCCGCAACTCCATGAAGACCAAACACCACTACTCAGTGCAGGTCAACGAGTCTAAACACATTAAGCTGGATGGCGGTCACGGCGGCGCCACCTCGCCGGCGAGCTCCACAAACCAGGAGGAGCTGAGGTACGTAGCTCTAGCAGAGTTCTTGCTGTATGTCATTGGGTCTCGTGCCACTGGTGTGCATTTATCATCATCATGCAGCAAATTGCTGGTTCAGCAGACTAATATTGGCGGCGGTTGGCCAGTGGATCGTGGGGAATGATAGCAAGAATAACTGCTCTTGCCATCTTGTCCTTTTCTCTCCAGTGACCTTCTCTACATTTTCTCACTCATTTGTGACTTTAACAGTGGTCCAGGACGGCCTGAAACATTGCCATAAGTTTCATTTTGAGTGAGGGTCGTCGGGGACGAGACCATTCCACCATTTCTGCAACGACGTTGGCTGATCCTCCATGGGGCGGCCTCCGTCCCATGTTTGCGGCATCTGGTAAACCTCCCACAATTACTGGCTGCCCACCACCCATCTATTGGTCTGCTGGACCAATGGGGGATGCTGTTTTAGGCCCAGACTGGGGTAGAGGGGTGGAGGTGGGGGTGGAGGACAGTGTAGTTTTATTTACATTCGAAGTTGTTAGTCGTTTTCAGAGCGGATTTTTTACAATGATGGTCACTGCAAGTCACTGTTATTTTCACAGCAATTCCCACAGTAAAGTTGTGTACCTCATATCTATCCTGTGGATGGTAGTGGCTAGTTTATTGTATACTTCATATCCATCCTGTGGATGGTAGTGGCTAGTTTATTGTGTACCTCATAGCCATCCTGTGGATGGTAGTGGCTAGTTTATTGTGTACCTCATATCCATCCTGTGGATGGTAGTGGCTAGTTTATTGTGTACCTCATATCCATCCTGTGGATGGTAGTGGCTAGTTTATTGTGTACCTCATATCCATCCTGTGGATGGTAGTGGCTAGTTTATTGTGTACCTCATATCCATCCTGTGGATTGTAGTGGCTAGTTTATTGTGCACCTCATATCCATCCTATGGATGGTAGTGGCTAGTTTATTGTGTACCTCATATCCATCCTGTGGATGGTAATGGCTAGTTTATTGTGCACCTCATATCCATCCTGTGGATGGTAGTGGCTAGTTTATTGTGTACCTCATATCCATCCTGTGGATGGTAGTGGCTAGTTTATTGTGTACCTCATATCCATCCTGTGGATGGTAGTGGCTAGTTTATTGTGTACCTCATATCCATCCCATGGATGGTAGTGGCTAGTTTATTGTATACACTAATTCCATTCTATGGATGATAGCACAAAAACATACAGGTACACTATAGGCCTGGGAACGAAGCCTCAAAATGGTTAACCAGATTACATCTGGAGACAGGAACACAGTGTATGATGGGACTGTATATCTCTGTGATTATCTTCAGTGACCAGAGCTTGAGATACAGTCAACTCTCTTATATATCTCCTCTATATAGAGGAGCTTTATAAGTGAGTTGACTGTATATAGAGGAGCTTTATATGAGAGTTGACTGTATATAGATGAGCTTTATAAGAGAGTTGACTGTATATAGAGGAGCTTTGTAAGAGAGTTGACTGTATATAGCGGAGCTTTATAAGAGAGTTGACTGTATATAGAGGAGCTTTATAAGAGAGTTGACTGTATATAGAGGAGCTTTATAAAGAGAGTTGACTGTATATAGAGGAGCTTTATAAGAGAGTTGACTGTATATAGAGGAGCTTTATAAGAGAGTTGACTGTATATAGAGGAGCTTTATAAGAGAGTTGACTGTATATAGAGGAGCTTTATGAGAGAGTTGACTGTATATAGAGGAGCTTTATGAGAGAGTTGACTGTATATAGAGGAGCTTTATGAGAGAGATGGTTTACACAGGCAGATTTCCACCACACTTGACATTTCACCGTTTGGGATGTTCTGACGAGCGATCAATTGTTTGAGCTACAGCTACTACAGTCATGTGAGTTGGTGCAATGGGGTGTGGAGGATTGATACTCCGTCCCTCATAGCAAGACTGGCGCTTCTCTCGCTGTCGGTATGTTTTATCTTTTTTTTTTTATCAAGTCGGCCATCTCCCACCTAGGCAGGGTGACCTAAAAAGAAAGAAAATCCTCAAAAAGAAAATACAATATATGTTTTACCTTTTTCTTTCTCTTTTCTTTCAACGTACTGGCCGTATCCCACCGAGGCAGGGTGGCCCAAAAGGAAAAATGAAAGTTTCTCCTTTCAAATTTAGTAATATATACAGGAGAAGGGGTTACCAGCCCCTTGCTCCCGGCATTTTAGTCGCCTGTTACAACACGCATGGCTTACGGAGGAAGAATTCTGTTCCACTTCCCCATGGAGAATGTTTTACCTATCATATGTAAATAATATTCGCTCTTTGAGGTGCCATGGTTCTGGTACAGTGATCTTCATCCATAGAAATAGAGTTAGCTTTTTGCATACTTGCCAGTATATAGGCAGTGATCAACTGCGAGGAGCGCAGCGTACGGGCATCGGTGTAATGTTTAAGTTTTAAGTTAAGGTTTGTGCAAGTTATTCCTGAACTTGCGTCTGTAAGGGCAAACTGATTTAAATTTTTTAAATGCCTCAGGTAACTGGTTAATTGATTTCAGCACTGTTGCATCCAGTTGTCTGCCTATATCCAATGAGCCGTGTCCCTCGAGAAGACTCTTGATTCACCGTAATCGTCAAGTTAGGCCTTACTCAGCCATCAGTATACTTGTAATAGTACAAGAAAAGTTTATACCAGACAGTTTTTTACTACTACTACTATTACTGGTACTACTACTACTAGTATTAATAATAAGAGTGCAGTCTGAAGGATGGGTAGGGATGCTGCAGGTCAGAGGGTCGTCTGAACTGTGATGTTAGCACACTTCGGGCATGACAAGTCATCAAATGAATGATGGTGAATGTGTTTCCTCTTTTCTTGTGGTTGTCCTACCTCAATTTGAGATGACTGGTGTGTTAAAAAATTAATAATAATAATAGAGATCTCGTTCTACCTGAATTATATTTCTTAGTCGAAGGGTTTGTCACCCTTTTGTTGTATTGTGAAGTTGAAGTATTTTTTACTAAGGTATAGCTAGTAATGTAACTGATGTAGTTAGTAAGCTATCTAGAAAAGTAACTAGCAACATAACTAGCAACATAACCAATAAAATAACTAGAAATATATTATGAGCGCACTCTGAAATACAGTGGCAGATTTCCTGTTGTTGTTGTATGAGATGGTTCAGTCTGGTTTGCATCGAGTCGGAATGCCGTTGGCACTCTGGGTCACGGCCCATTGGATAAAGCTTGGCGAAGGTGCGGCAGTTGTGAACTAGCGTAGAGGGCCTGGGTATCTTTCCCACTAGGCAGGGCAGTGTAGCCTCGGAGAGTCCCCAGGATCCCCCGTACAGTCCCGAGGAGTTTGCCAACGCCGAATTCTACATTGATGAGTCGATGCCCTCCAGCTACACCGAGAGTGGCGGTACGGCGGCCTCCGGCTCGAGGCATCCCGCAGCACTGGTGAAGACGCACCATGTCGTCACAGCGGAGCTGCAGCAGCAATTGGAGGACAAAAATACAGCCATTATCATCTTGCAGGTTAGTGGGTGCACCTCCCCTGGCTTGTTTTGGAGTCAGCGACTCTGCAGTGGTGACTGCGGAGCCCTGCCCCTTTAAAGTGCACTTTTCATACACTTTTCGGCTACCCACAGTTTACAAAGGAAAATTTAAATTGTGCTTCGGTCTGCTGTGGACGTTTATTCAGTTCCACGGTGGTCTGGGACCGACCGAAAGCTAATCTGAAATTTCCTCTCCTAGTTGTGGTTAGTCGTGAATTTTTTTAATGCATGTGCTGCCTCCCACCAAGGCAGGGTGACTTAAAAAATTAAATGTTTTTCTTTTTATACATAGTAAATTATACAGGGGGGTGTTACTAGCACCTTGCTGCCAGCGTTTAGTAATTATGCAGTTGAAATATTGTAAGTCAAATCATCGTTAAGTTGAAATATGGTAAGTCAAACCATTGATATAAAGTGGACCCCCGGTTTACGATATTATTTCATTCCAGAAGTATGTTCAGGTGCCATTACTGACCGAATTTGTTCCCATAAGGAATATTGTGAATTAGATTAGTCCATTTCAGACCCCCAAACATACACGTACAAACGCACTTACATAAATACACTTACATAATTGGTCGCATTGGGAACTGATCGTAAATCGGGGGTCCACTGTATTGTGTAAGTCAAACCATCGTAAAGTTGACATATTGTAAGTCAAACCATTGTGAAGTTGACATATTGTAAGTCAAATATGGTAAGTCAAATCATCATAAACTTGAAATATGATAAGTCAAGTCTCCCCTGTACCGTTATGCTTGTTGCAGTGTTATTAATCTAACATTATTCTATTTGTTTAAGTTTCATGTTATCCTGTATTGTTCTGTGGCAGGTAAGACCCGGGGAGCCTGTTAATATGACCAGCGTATTAGACCTGTGTGTTTACCAGACCTGTGTGTTTACCAGACCTGTGTGTTTACCAGACCTGTGTATTTACCAGACCTGTGTGTTTACCAGACCTGTGTGTTTACCAGACCTGTGTATTTACCAGACCTGTGTGTTTAACAGACCTGTGTATTTACCAGACCTGTGTGTTTACCAGACCTGTGTGTTTACCAGACCTGTGTGTTTACCAGACCTGTGTGTTTACCAGACCTGTGTGTTTACCAGACCTGTGTGTTTACCAGACCTGTGTGTTTACCAGACCTGTGTGTTTACCAGACCTGTGTATTTACCAGACTTATGTGTTTACCAGACCTGTGTGTTTACCAAACATGTGTATTTACCAGACTTATGTGTTTACCAGACCTGTGTGTTTACCAGACCTGTGTGTTTACCAGACCTGTGTGTTTACCAGACCTGTGTGTTTACCAGACCTGTGTGTTTACCAGACCTGTGTGTTTACCAGACCTGTGTGTTTACCAGACCTGTGTGTTTACCAGACCTGTGTATTTACCAGACTTATGTGTTTACCAGACCTGTGTGTTTACCAAACATGTGTATTTACCAGACTTATGTGTTTACCAGACCTGTGTGTTTACCAGACCTGTGTGTTTACCAGACCTGTGTGTTTACCAGACCTGTGTGTTTACCAGACCTGTGTGTTTACCAGACCTGTGTGTTTAACAAACCTGTGTGTTTAACAGACCTGTGTGTTTACCAGACCTGTGTTTACCAGACCTGTGTGTTTACCAGACCTGTGTGTTTACCAGACCTGTGTGTTTACCAGACCTATTTGTTTACCAGACCTGTGTGTTTACCAGACCTGTGTGTTTACCAGACCTGTGTGTTTACCAGACCTGTGTGTTTAACAAACCTGTGTGTTTAACAGACCTGTGTGTTTACCAGACCTGTGTTTACCAGACCTGTGTGTTTACCAGACCTGTGTGTTTACCAGACCTGTGTGTTTACCAGACCTGTGTTTACCAGACCTGTGTGTTCACCAGACCTGTGTTTACCAGACCTGTGTGTTTACCAGACCTATGTGTTTACCAGGCACTGAAGCATTGGTTGTGCATGTTAACCATGCTCTGGTGAACTAACGTGTTCCCTCAGTTTTGCGTACTAATCAGGAGTGGATGGTGGTTAATAATGAGGTGTGGTTGATATCGAGCGGATGATTGTTGATAAATGTGGCAGACTGAGAGAATCCTTTCATCAACAGGCAGTTAGAATGGTTATTGGTGGCAGCATTTAGATATTGGGATATACCTGAAGATTGTATTCTGTAGAATGTATCCTGAAGAATGTATTGTGAAGGATGTATCCTGAAGAATGTATCATGAAGGATGTATCCTGAAGGATATTTCCTTGGGGGTTAATGCCACTGACCTGGTCCCTGGCTAGTCCTCCTGGTGGATCAGGGCCTGATCAGTCAGACCTATTACTGCTGGCAATAGTATTGTCAGGATATTGAGCAAATATTTCACACGAACAACGACTTTATGAAGTAACGGACAGGCGTGGCATGAATGTTGTATCCCATGAGGTATTCTCACTTTTAATACACATGCGTGAGTGCATTAGATAGGAGTGAGTGGAGACAAGTAGTTTTATGACTTGATGTGCTGTTAGAGTGTGAGCAAAGTAACATTTATGAAGGGATTCAGGGAAACTGGTAAGCTGGACTCGAGTCCTGGGGGTAGGAAGTACAGTGTCTGCACTCTGAAGGAGGGGTGTTAATGTTGCAGTTTTGTAACTGTAGTGTAGGCATGCCTCTGGCAAGACAGTGATGGAGTGAATAATGATGAAAGTGTTTTTTTTTTTCGGGTCACCCTGCCTTGGTGGGAAACGACCGATGTATCAATAAAACAACGGAAGTATTTCTGCAGTGTGAGGTATTTAAGTATGCCATATGAGGTAACCACATATGCCGTACAAAGTGTTTATGCATGCAGTATGATGTATTTACAGGTGTGGTATGGGGTATTTACAGGTGTGGTATGAGGTGTGCGTGCACGCCACACCGTGCTACAGGTTGTAACTGTTTGTTTATGGCAGAGTGAGCTGAGTCAAGCCAAGGAAGAGATGGAGCGACTCCAGCAGCGTCTCGGGGCCCTGGCATCACTACACTGTAAAGACGAAGTCCTCAGCCTCAAGACAGAGCTGGCGGCGCTACGGGACAAGGTACCACAACCTCGGCAAAATAAACATTAATTTTCTTTTCATGTATTTTATTATTTCATTTATTTAAATATAATTATGTGTTTCCACATAAAAAATACATACACACATACACACATACATACACACATACACACATACATACACACATACATATCAGGAAATTAGAGAAAGTGCAAAGGTTTGCAACAAGATTAGTTCCAGAGCTCAGGGAAATGTCCTATGATGAAAGGTTGAGGGAAATCAGTCTGATGACACTGGAGGACAGGGGGGTCAGGGGAGACATGATAACGACATACAAAATACTGCGTGGAATAGACAAGGTGGACAGAGACAGGATGTTTCAGAGAAGGGACACAGAAAAAGGGGTCACAATTGGAAGTTGAAGACTCAGATGAGTCGCATGGATTTTAGGAAGTATTTCTTCAGCCATAGAGTTGTTAGGAAGTGGAATAGTCCAGGAAGTTATGTAGTGGAGGGAGGAACCATACATAGTTTTAAGATGAGGTATGATAAAGCTCAGGGAGCAGAGGGAGAGAGGACCTAGTAATGATCAGTGAAGTGGCGGGGCCATAAGCTGAGTCTCGACTCCTGCAACCACAATTAGGTGAGTACAGTTAGGTGAATACACACACACACACACATACATACATACATTTTTTGTTTTTCAACGTACCAGCCGTATCCCACCGAGGCGGGGTGGCCCAAAAGGAAAAATGAAAGTTTCTCCTTTTAAATTTAGTAATATATACAGGAGAAGAGGTTACTAGCCCCTTGCTCCCGGCATTTTAGTCGCCTCTTACAACACGCATGGCTTACGGAGGAAGAATTCTGTTCCACTTCCCCATGGAGATAAGAGGAAATAAACAAGAACAAGAACTAGAAAGAAAATAGAAGAAAACCCAGAGGGGTGTGTGTATATACACTTGTACATGTATGTTTAGTGTGACCTAAGTGTAAGTAGAAGTAGCAAGATGTATCTGAAATCTTAATTGTTCATAAGACAGAAAAAAGGCACCAGCAATCCTACCATCATGTAAAACAATTACAGGCTTCGTTTTACACTCACTTGGCAGGACGGTAGTACCTCCCTGGGCGGTTGCTGTCTACCAACCTACTACCTAGAACATACATACATATACATACTTATTGTAATTTTTAATCAAACTTGTTGTTTAAGGTTCATTTCAAGGAAAAAAATTGAGCTCAGTCTTTTCGGTAATTAGCAGAGTTTTATTTTTAATTGACTCACTGGAACGAGTGCTCATTGAGCCCTGACCTGAGTGTGATGCTGGTGTTGTTGACAGGTGCGGGACGAGCGCGAGGCCTATTTGAAACACATCTCTGAGCTGTCCTCTCAGATTATGGACATTCTCCTGCAGGTGAGTGTATGGGGGGCTGCTGCCTCTCTTGTTCTGCTGCCTCTCTTGTTCTGCTGCAGGAGGTGTTACTAGCACCTGCTCTGTTGTAGGAGGTGTTACTAGCACCTATTCTGCTCCAGGAGGTGTTACTAGCACCTATTCTGCTGCAGGTGTTACTAGCACCTATTCTGTTGCAGGAGAAGGTGTTACTAGCACCTGTTCTGTTGTAGGAGGTGTTACTAGCACCTATTCTGCTCCAGGTGGTGTTACTAGCACCTATTCTGCTGCAGATGTTACTAGCACCTATTCTCCTGCAGGTGTTACTAGCACCTATTCTGCTGCAGGAGGTGTTACTAGCACCTATTCTGCTGCAGGAGATGTTGCTAGCACCTATTCTGCTGCAGGAGGTGTTACTAGCACCTATTCTGCTGCAGGAGGTGTTACTAGCATCTATTCTGCTGCAGGAGGTGTTACTAGCACCTATTCTGTTGCAGGAGAAGGTGTTACTAGCACCTATTCTGTTGCAGGAGAAGGTGTTACTAGCACCTATTCTGTTGCAGGAGGTGTTACTAGCACCTATTCTGTTGCGGAGGTGTTACATAGCACCTATTCTGCTGCAGAGGTTACTAGCACCTATTCTGCTGCAGGAGGTGTTACTAGCACCTATTCTGCTGCAGGAGGTGTTACTAGCACCTATTCTGCTGCAGGAGGTGTTACTAGCACCTATTCTGCTGCAGGAGGTGTTACTAGCATCTTGCTAGCTTTTATATGCCTTTGAACGTGAAAAAAAAACTTTTTCACTTTTGAGCAATTTCCGTTTTACGAAGGTAGCCCAGAACCTAACCTCTTGTATAAGCAGGACCCTCTTGTACAGCAGTAGCCCAGAACCTGACCTGTTGTATAAGCAGGGGCCTCCTGTACAGCAGTAGCCCAGAACCTAGCTGTTGTATAAGCAGGACCCTCTTGTACAGCAGTAGCCCAGAACCTAGCCAGTTGTATAAGCAGGACCCTCTTGTACAGCAGTAGCCCAGAACCTAGCCAGTTTTATAAGCAGGACCCTCTTGTACAGCAGTAGCCCAGAACCTAACCTGTTGTACAAGCAGGGCTCTCTTGTACAGCAGTAGCCCAGAGCCTAGCCAGTTGTATAAGCAGGGCCACTCTTGTACAGCATATCCAGAACCTAACCTGTGTATAGCAGCCCTTTGTACAGCAGTAGCCCAGAACCTAACCATTGTATAAGCAGGCCTCTTGTACAGCAGTAGCCCAGAACCTGACCTGTTGTATAAGCAGGACCCTCTTGTACAGCAGTAGCCCAGAACCTAACCTCTTGTATAAGCAGGACCCTCTTGTACAGCAGTAGCCCAGAACCTAGCCAGTTTGTATAAGCAGACCCTCTTTACAGCAGTAGCCCAGAACCTAACCTCTTGTATAAGCAGGACCCTCTTGTACAGCAGTAGCCCAGAACCTAGCCAGTTGTATAAGCAGGACCCTCTTGTACAGCAGTAGCCCAGAACCTAGCCAGTTTTATAAGCAGGACCCTCTTGTACAGCAGTAGCCCAGAACCTAGCCAGTTGTATAAGCAGGACCCTCTTGTACAGCAGTAGCCCAGAACCTAGCCAGTTGTATAAGCAGGGCCCTCTTGTACAGCAGTAGTCCAGAACCTAACCTGTTGTATAAGCAGGGCCCTATTGTACAGCAGTAGCCCAGAACCTAACCAGTTGTATAAGCAGGGCTCTCCTGGACAGCAGTAGCCCAGAACCTAACCTGCTGTATAAGTGGGGCCCTCTATATAAGTGCACCAACTAAACAGATACACAAATATATATGAAGTAGGTACTGTAGACTCATTACATCCAGGTTCCTTTCATTTTTTAATCTTTATTATGCAAAGGAAGATAAGCAGAGGGTATATAAACAGTGTGAAGGTCTCTCATGCGGAAAGGTGCAGTATGTGTCTGCTCTCTCAATTTATATATGAACACTGTCTCCAGCTTGATCACAGATGATGCAAATGATATGAAAACACTGTATGTATTAACTGTTGTTTATTGTACAGTAGTCTTCCCCATATTCCCTGGGGATATGTTCCAAAACCTACCTTAGATGCCTGAAACTGCGGATAGTAGTGAAATACAGTGGACCCCCGCATAACGATTACCTCCGAATGCGACCAATTATGTAAGTGTATTTATGTAAGTGCATTTGTACGTGTATGTTTGGGGGTTTGAAATGGACTAATCTACTTCACAATATTCCTTATGGGAATAAATTCGGTCAGTACTGGCACCTGAACATACTTATGGAGTGAAAAAATATCGTTAACCGGGGGTCCACTGTACAGTGGAACCCCGAGTTTCGGTCATAATTCATTCCAGAAGGCTGTTTCAGTGTCGATACCAAATGAATTTGTTCCCATAAGGAATAATGTAAATTAGATTAGTCTATTTCAGACCCCCAAAAATACACTTAGAAAAGCACTTACAATAATGGACTTACATAATTGTTCGAGTTGGGAGCTGTACGAAACTTGGGGTACCACTGTGTATATGCTACAGCCTCTCCTCCCTTAACAACAGAGTTCTATTCCTAAGACCACATCAGTAAACGAATTCGTCATTAAGTGAGGAGCATACTATAATGGTAGTGGGTTTGTGTCAGCCATCTCTGATATTGTTTTAATGTCACCGTTGCACCATTTATAAAATTTTTAGTATATACGTATATTTAACCCTTTCACTGTCGGTCTTGTAATATTACGGCTTGCAAGCCAGTGTTGGTCCTGTAATAGTACGCCAAAATTCTAGTGACTTCCAGCCTTTTGAGAGATAGCTGGTAGACCTACATATGAAAGAATGGGTTAAGTGAGGAGAGGCTGTACTCATAATTTGAATAATGCGACCACTTCACGGGATTCATTATTCACGCTAATAAAGATTTGGAATTTTTTTTCGATTCGGGTACAAAGTTAGCGAGCAAGTCCCGCAGTGATGCTGCAGTGACGCTAGCACGGCTGCCAACAGACTGCGAGGCCCCCGGGAAAACCCATTGACCTGCAGCGCACAATTGAACGATCCCCAGCGAGAGATTAAAGTCCCCCGGGAAAAACCCTCGACAAAAAGAAATTTTGCAGGCATGTTTGGGTTTCCCGCAAAAAATCTGGGGGGAAGGAAGGCGGGGGGGGGTTGCCCCTAAAAAAACGTTTGGAGGGATGGGGAAAAGGAAGGTTGTGGGGAGGGGCTTGGTTCCCAGAAAGCGTGCGTGAGCGGTTAAAGGAGTGAATGGAGAAAAGATTTTGGGACCTGGAGCTGTGGAGTGTGAGCGGGAAAATTTTTTGTGAAGGGTTTTCCAGGAAACCCGGTTTTTTTATATAAGGGGATTTGGTCCTGGAAAGGGGGAAGTAAAATGCCTCACTCTAAAGGGGGTTTGGGGATTAGCAGTTTGAAAGGAAATACAGTGGACCCCCCCTTTTCGAGGGCATGATGTTACGTTAAATCTCCAACGAACATTTGAACGCAAAAATTTTGCCTTGCCTCACACAAAAAAAAAATCGTCCACGCAATTCGTCTGGACATGTCCCCCATGTGGCCTCAAGCAGTGTTTTCAAGCCACCAGTGCGGTCGCATCTATGATACATTCAGTACATTTTAATTTTCCAGTGTTTTTAGTGTTTTAGCTGAAAAATAAGTCCCCTGAACCCCCAAGAAAACTTCAGGGCCCTCCCTGTGGTAAAAGGGCAAGAATTAGTATGGGAAAGAAAAAAGAGATTAAGGAAATGTGTACAAAGGGGTTGAACTAAACCTTTTTCGGATAAAATCCCCTGACCAGCTACTGGCAGCCGTGTTTGGGAAACCCAAAAGACAATGTTATGGCCCCTTTTGGAAAGTCTTAAAAGAACAAGAGGGACAGACTCTTGGACAATTTGGGTTTTGAACAGAGGCAGTGACTCAAGGTGGTTAGTGGCATTAAAAAAAGAAGGGAAGTAACCCCAGAAAAGGACTTGATACCTCAAGTCCTAATGGAAGGGGATTCCCCCTCTAAACAATAACAACTTCCACACACTCCCCTCCTCCCATCCCATCAATCATCACCAGATCTTCAATAAAGGTAAGTGTCATGTATTCTATTGTTAGTAGAGTATTAACTGTGCATGTCTTCTTCAGTTTGTATTAAAATTAATATTTCGTGTGGTTAAAAATTTTTTTTTTCGTACTTTGGGGTGTCTTGCACGGTAATTTGATTTCCATTATTTCTTATGGGGAAAATTAATTCGCCTTACGATAATTTCAGCATACGATGAGCTCTCAGGAACAGATTAATATCGTAAGGTGGGGTCCACTGTACTGTGTATCTTTATACGTATATACTTCTAAACTGTTGTACAGTGGACCCCCGCATAACGATGGCATCGCATAGCGATTTTTCCGCATAACGATTACTTTTATCGCAAAATTTTTGCCCCGCATACCGATTAAAAACCCGCATACCGATTTTCGTCCGAGACGCGTCCAATGTGCCCTCACATGTGCCGGCCGTCCCATTGTTTACCAGCCAGCCTCCGCGGTAACATCCAAGCATACACTCGGAATATTTCGTATTATTACAGTGTTTTCGGTGGTGTTTCTGGAAAATAAGTGACCATGGGCCCCAAGAAGCTTCTAGTGCCAACCCTGTGGTAAAAAGGGTGAGAATTAGTATGGAAATTAAGAAAGATTTTGAAGGGTTTGGGGCTAACCCTGAGAAGCCTATGCCAGTTGTGGAATCCATTGTGCCTACTTCAAAGATTAAGGAAATGTGTGCAGAGTGGTTTGAACTGCAAACCTTTATAGATGAAAATCACCCTGACACAGCTGTTGCAAGCCGTGCTTGTGACTATTTCAATGACAATGTTATGGCCCATTTTAGGAAAGTCTTGAAGAAACGGGAGGTACAGAGCTCTATGGACAGATTTGTTGTGCGACAGAGGTCCAGTGACTCTGAAGCTGGTCCTAGTGGCATTAAAAGAAGAAGGGAAGTAACCCCAGAAAAGGACTTGCTACCTCAAGTCCTAATGGAAGGGGATTCCCCTTCTAAACAGTAAGAAGATAATGCTCTCCCCTCCTCCCATCCCATCAATCATCACCAGATCTTCAATAAAAGTAAGTGTCATGTAATTGTGCATGCCTTTTTCAGTTTGTGTGTATTAAAATTAACATTTCATGTGGTAAAAAAAATTTTTTTTCATACTTTTGGGCGTCTTGCACGGATTAATTTTATTTCCATTATTTCTTATGGGGAAAATTAATTCGCATAACGATTATTTCGCATAACGATGAGCCCTCTTGCACGGATTAAAATCGTTAACCGGGGGTCCACTGTATTCTGAGCACCTCTGCAAAAACAGTGACAATGTGTGAGTGTGGTGAAAGTGTTGAATGATGATGAAAGTATTTTCTTTTTGGGGATTTTCTTTCTTTTTTGGGTCACCCTGCCTCGGTGGGTCACCCTGCCTCGGTGGGTCACCCTGCCTCGGTGGGTCACCCTGCCTCGGTGGGTCACCCTGCCTCGGTGGGTCACCCTGCCTCGGTGGGTCACCCTGCCTCGGTGGGTCACCCTGCCTCGGTGGGTCACCCTGCCTCGGTGGGAGACGACCGACTTGTTGAAAGAAAAAATAATAATAATAATAGTAATAATGTTTATTGCAGCATGGTACGATGTTTATTCAAGGTGAATGACATTTGGGTATACATGCAGAAAGCCCGTAAATATGCAGAGCCGCTTGGGCAAATGTAACATTAGCATAAGATCAATAAAGCAGTAAGAATATTGAGTAATTTAGTACTTAGTTACTTGGGTGAGTGCAAATATAAGTTTAGAAGTTTACAATGCCTACAAGAGAATTGAATATCATATTAGCTTATGAGCATGTTCGATAAGAGTGAATGGAGATGAATGGTATTTGGGACCTGACGATGTGTTGGAGTGTGAGCAGGGTAATACAGTGGACCCCCGCATAACGATCACCTCCCACTGCGACCAATTATGTAAGTGTATTTATGTAAGTGCGTTTGTACGTGTATGTTTGGGGGTCTGAAATGGACTAATCTACTTCACAATATTCCTTATGGGAACAAATTCGGTCAGTACTGGCACCTGAACATACTTCTGGAGTGAAAAAATATCGTTAACCGGGGGTCCACTGTATTTAGTGAAGGGATTCAGGGAAACTGGTTATTTTTTATATAGTCGGACTTGAGTCCTGGAAATAGGAAGTACAATGCCTGCACTCTAAAGGAGGGGTTCGGGATATTAGCAGTTTGGAGGGATATGTTGTGTATCTTTATATGTACAGTTTATGCTTCTAAACTGTTGTGTTCTGAGCACCTCTGCAAAAACAGTGATTATGTGTGAGTGAGGTGAAAGTGTTGAAAGGTGATGAAAGTATTTTCTTTTTGGGTCACCCTGCCTCGGTGGGAGACGGCCGACTTGTTAAAAAAAAAAAAAAATTAGCTCATGCTATATGGGATAATAAGTTTAATTGAGAGTAATACGGGTTTGACTGTTACGGCAAAAGTGGATACAACGGCAGTGTGTTGTTACCCTATTCTATGTGTTAGTTACATAGTGAGAACAGAAGCTAGTAGTGTTTCCCTGTCATATTCCATCACACAGTTTGGATCATATATTGTTGAAATGGTCAGTCTGATCTGGGAGGCTTCAGTAGGCTGAAGAGGATATCAGGTATCATCTTTGATATCCTCTTTGATATCTTCTTTGTTATCCTCTTTGATATTATCTTTGTCCATGTGATGTCTAACAGATCAGACTGACACATTTCGACAATCTTCTTCTTCTTTCAACAAACCGGCTGTATCCCACCAAGGCAGGGCGGCCCAAAAAGAAAAACAAAAGTTTCTCTTTTCAAATTTAGTAATTTATACAGGAGAAGGGGTTACTAGCCCCTTGCTCCCAGCATTTTAGTCGCTTCTTACAACACGCATGGCTTACGGAGGAAGAATTCTGTTCCACTTCCCCATGGAGATAAGAGGAAATAAACAAGAACAAGAACTAGAAAGAAAATAGAAGAAAACCCAGAGGGGTGTATATATATATATATATGCTTGTACATGTATGTGTAGTGTGACCTAAGTGTAAGTAGAAGTAGCAAGACGTACCTGAAACCTTGCATGTTTATGAGACAGAAAAAAGACACCAGCAATCCTACCATCATGTAAAACAATTACAGGCTTTCGTTTAACACTCACTTGGCAGGACGGTAGTACCTCCCTGAGCGGTTGCTGTCTACCAACCTACTACCTAGGATATTTCAACAATATATGATCCAAACTGTGTGATGGAATATGACAGGGAAACACTGCTAGCTTCTGTTCCCACTGTATAACTATCACATAGCATAGGGTAGCAACACACTGCTGTTGTATCCAATTTTTCTGGATACAAAATCGTATTTTTCGATGAATTAGGCACGCTTTTTACCCCCACAATAAGTCTTGGAAAATCGCCCTGGGCCTTGTATGCTCACGGTCAGCATCAAGGATAAGCTTTGTGTTACACTTTAGTAGTAGTACTTATTTACTAACGTTATGTTACAGCTGCTTAGTAACATTATTTTGTATGTTTTGTATACCGCAAAAACGGTACTAGGTGGCGAGGTGAAGCAGGTGGTAGGAGGGCAGGTGGAGCAGGTGGTAGGAGGGCAGGTGGAACAGGTGGTAGGAGGGCAGGTGGAGCAGGTGGTAGGAGGGCAGGTGAAGCAGGTGGTAGGAGGGCAGGTGGAGCAGGTGATAGGAGGGCAGGTGGAACAGGTGGTAGGAGGGCAGGTGGAGCAGGTGGTAAGAGGGCAGGTGAAGGTGGGAGGAACAGACAGGACAGTAGAGGAAGGGATAGAGATGTATCAGGTCTAAACAGCAAATATAACAGTGGGAGGATTTTCCAACGTAGATATCTGTTGATATTATCTATTGTGATTATCTATTTTGATTATTATTATTGTGATTATCTGTTTTGATTATTGTTATTATCTATTGTGTTTATTTTGATTATTGTTATTATCTATTGTGATTACCAATTCGTAGCTGCAGGACTAGAGTTGACGTCATGGCATCTTGTCGAGAATAGCTCTAGTGCCGTCAGTTCGCAATCTAACATCTTAGTCAATTCTCTTGTAAAGCTCGACTATATATTGTGATTTTCTCATGAATACAATTTAAAAAATTAATCTGGAATGGAGCTGTAAAGGCCTTGCAAAATTCTATTAAATTTTGGATGTAATTTTTCAATTACATTTACAAAAAGTTGTACTGTATGGAGGAGCTTTATAAGGGAACTGACTGTATATAGAACTTTATAAGGGAACTGACTGTATATAGAACTTTATAAGGGGACTGACTGTATATAGAACTTTATAAGGGGACTGACTGTATATAGAACTTTATAAGGGAACTGACTGTATATAGAACTTTATAAGGGGACTGACTGTATATAGAACTTTATAAGGGGACTGACGTATATAGAACTTTATAAGGAACTGACTGTATATAGAACTTTTATAAGGGGACTGACTGTATATAGAACTTTATAAGGGAACTGACTGTATATAGAACTTTATAAGGGAACTGACTGTATATAGAACTTTATAAGGGAACTGACTGTATATAGAACTTTATAAGGGGACTGACTGTATATAGAAACTTTATAAGGAAAACTGACTGTATATAGAACTTTATAAGGGGACTGACTGTATATAGAACTTTATAAGGGAACTGACTGTATATAGAACTTTATAAGGAAACTGACTGTATATAGAACTTTATAAGGGACTGACTGTATATAGAACTTATAAGGGAAACTGACTGTATATAGAACTTTATAAGGAAACTGACTGTATATAGAACTTTATAAGGGACTGACTGTATATAGAACTTTATAAGGGAACTGACTGTATATAGAACTTTATAAGGAAACTGACTGTATATAGAACTTTATAAGGGAACTGACTGTATATAGAACTTTATAAGGGAACTGACTGTATATAGAACTTTATAAGGGGACTGACTGTATATAGAACTTTATAAGGGGACTGACTGTATATAGAACTTTATAAGGGGACTGACTGTATATAGAACTTTTTAAGGGAACTGACTGTGTATAGAACTTTATAAGGGGACTGACTGTATATAGAACTTTATAAGGGAACTGACTGTATATAGAACTTTATAAGGGGACTGACTGTATATAGAACTTTATAAGGGAACTGACTGTATATTAGAACTTTATAAGGGGACTGACTGTATATAGAACTTTATAAGGGAACTGACTGTATATAGAACTTTATAAGGAAACTGACTGTATATAGAACTTTATAAGGGGACTGACTGTATATAGAACTTTATAAGGGAACTGACTGTATATAGAACTTTATAAGGAAACTGACTGTATATAGAAACTTTATAAGGGAACTGACTGTATATAGAACTTTATAAGGGAACTGACTGTATATAGAACTTTATAAGGGGACTGACTGTATATAGAACTTTATAAGGGGACTGACTGTATATAGAACTTTATAAGGGGACTGACTGTATATAGAACTTTATAAGGAACTGACTGTATATAGAACTTTATAAGGGGACTGACTGTATATAGAACTTTATAAGGGAACTGACTGTATATAGAACTTTATAAGGGGAATGACTGTATATAGAACTTTATAAGGGAACTGACTGTATATAGAACTTTATAAGGGGACTGACTGTATATAGAACTTTATAAGGGAACTGACTGTATATAGAACTTTATAAGGAAACTGACTGTATATAGAACTTTATAAGGGGACTGACTGTATATAGAACTTTATAAGGGAACTGACTGTATATAGAACTTTATAAGGAAACTGACTGTATATAGAACTTTATAAGGGAACTGACTGTATATAGAACTTTATAAGGGGACTGACTGTATATAGAACTTTATAAGGGGACTGACTATATAGGACTTTATAAGGGAACTGACTGTATATAGAACTTTATAAGGGGACTGACTGTATATAGAACTTTATAAGGGAACTGACTGTATATAGAACTTTATAAGGGGACTGACTGTATATAGAACTTTATAAGGGAACTGACTGTATATAGAACTTTATAAGGGTACTGACTGTATATAGAACTTTATAAGGGAACTGACTGTATATAGAACTTTATAAGGGGACTGACTGTATATAGAACTTTATAAGGGAACTGACTGTATATAGAACTTTATAAGGGGACTGACTGTATATAGAACTTTATAAGGGGACTGACTGTATATAGAACTTTATAAGGGAACTGACTGTATATAGAACTTTATAAGGGAACTGACTGTATATAGAACTTTATAAGGGGACTGACTGTATATAGAACTTTATAAGGAAACTGACTGTATATAGAACTTTATAAGGGAACTGACTGTATATAGAACTTTATAAGGGGACTGACTGTATATAGAACTTTATAAGGGGACTGACTGTATATAGAACTTTATAAGGGAACTGACTGATATAGAACTTTATAAGGGGACTGACTGTATATAGAACTTTATAAGGAACTGACTGTATTATGAACTTTATAAGGGGACGACTGTATATAGAACTTTATAAGGGGCTGACTGTATATAGAACTTTATAAGGGAACTGACTGTATATAGACTTTATAAGGGAACTGACTGTATATAGAACTTTATAAGGGGACTGACTGTATATAGAACTTTATAAGGGAACTGACTGTTATATAGAACTTTATAGGGACTGACTGTATATAGAACTTTATAGGGGACTGACTGTATATAGAACTTTATAAGGAAACTGACTGTATATAGAACTTTATAAGGGAACTGACTGTATATAGAACTTTATAAGGGGACTGACTGTATATAGAACTTTATAAGGGAACTGACTGTATATAGAACTTTATAAGGGGACTGACTGTATATAGAACTTTATAAGGGGACTGACTGTATATAGAACTTTATAAGGAAACTGACTGTATATAGAACTTTATAATTGAACTGACTGTATATAGAACTTTATAAGGGAACTGACTGTATATAGAACTTTATAAGGGGACTGACTGTATATAGAACTTTATAAGGAAACTGACTGTATATAGAACTTTATAAGGGGACTGACTGTATATAGAACTTTATAAGGGGACTGACTGTATATAGAACTTTATAAGGGAACTGACTGTATATAGAACTTTATAAGGGGACTGACTGTATATAGAACTTTATAAGGGAACTGACTGTATATAGAACTTTATAAGGGACTGACTGTATATAGAACTTTATAAGGGAACTGACGTATATAGAACTTTATAAGGGGACTGACTGTATATAGAACTTTATAAGGGAACTGACTGTATATAGAACTTTATAAGGGAACTGACTGTATATAGAACTTTATAAGGGGACTGACTGTATATAGAACTTTATAAGGGGACTGACTGTATATAGAACTTTATAAGGGAACTGACTGTATATAGAACTTTATAAGGGGACTGACTGTATATAGAACTTTATAAGGGAACTGACTGTATAATAGAACTTTATAAGGGAACTGACTGTATATATAGAACGTTATAGGGGACTGACTGTATATAGAACTTTATAAGGGGACTGACTGTATATAGAACTTTATAAGGAACTGACTGTATATAGAACTTTATAAGGGGACTGACTGTATATAGAACTTTATAAGGGGACTGACTGTATATAGAACTTTATAAGGGAACTGACTGTATATAGAACTTTATAAGGGAACTAACTGTATATAGAACTTTATAAGGGGACTGACTGTATATAGAACTTTATAAGGTAACTGACTGTATATAGAACTTTATAAGGGAACTGACTGTATATAGAACTTTATAAGGGAACTGACTGTATATAGAACTTTATAAGGGAACTGACTGTATATAGAACTTTATAAGGGGACTTACTGTATATAGAACTTTATAAGGGGACTGACTGTATATAGAACTTTATAAGGGAACTGACTGTATATAGAACTTTATAAGGGGACTGACTGTATATAGAACTTTATAAGGAAACTGACTGTATATAGAACTTTATAAGGGAACTGACTGTATATAGAACTTTATAGGGGACTGACTGTATATAGAACTTTATAAGGGACTGACTGTATATAGAACTTTATAAGGGAACTGACTGTATATAGAACTTTATAAGGGGACTTACTGTATATAGAACTTTATAAGGGGACTGACTGTATATAGAACTTTATAAGGGGACTGACTGTATATAGAACTTTATAAGGGAACTGACTGTATATAGAACTTTTTAAGGGGACTGACTGTATATAGAACTTTATAAGGGGACTGACTGTATATAGAACTTTATAAGGGAACTGACTGTATATAGAACTTTATAAGGGAACTGACTGTATATAGAACTTTATAAGGGGACTGACTGTATATAGAACTTTATAAGGAAACTGACTGTATATAGAACTTTATAAGGGGACTGACTGTATATAGAACTTATAAGGGACTGACTGTATTTTAGAACTTTATAAGGGAACTGACTGTATATAAAACTTTATAAGGGGACTGACTGTATATAGAAACTTTATAAGGGAACTGCTGTATATAGAACTTTATAAGGGGACTGACTGTATATAGAACTTTATAAGGGGACTGACTGTATATAGAACTTTATAAGGGGACTGACTGTATATAGAACTTTATAAGGGAACTGACTGTATATAGAACTTTATAAGGAGACTGACTGTATATAGAACTTTATAAGGGAACTGACTGTATATAGAACTTTATAAGGGGACTTACTGTATATAGAACTTTATAAGGGGACTGACTTTTATAGAACTTTATAAGGGAACTGACTGTATATAGAACTTTATAAGGGGACTGACTGTATATAGAACTTTATAAGGGAACTGACTGTAACTACTTAACTGACTACACATTTCAGCAAACAACTGTGGAGTTCGAGGAGGCCAAGAGAATGTTGGTAGAGGAGAAGGTGGAGGCTGTGAAGAGACTGACCTTGGAGCACGAGCTGGAGATGGTTGCCCTCAAGGAGCGCTGGCGCGAGGACGACCTTACACGCCAGGAGGAGATTGTGACCCTCACCCAGGTCAGTTGTCTTCCTGCCTTCCTTCCTGCCTTCCTTCCTGCCTTCCTGACTGACTGCTTTCCTTCCTAACTGCTTAACCTAACCTAACACTTGTCTTGTTTCCTGACAAACCTTTCATAACCTAACCTAACATAACCTAACCTAACTTAACTTAGCCTAACCTAACCTAACACTTGACTTGTTTCCTGACAAACCTAACTTAACATAACCTAACTTAACTTAGCCTAACCTAACCTAACACTTGACTTGTTTCCTGACAAACCTAACCTAACATAACCTAACTTAACTTTGCCTAACCTAACCTAACCTAACCTAACCTAACTTAACTTAACTTAACTTAACTTAACTTAACTTAACTTAACTTAACTTAACTTAACTTAACTTAACCTAACCTAACCTAACCTAACCTAACCTAACACTTGTTTCCTGCCAAACCTTACCTAACCTAGCCTAACCTAACCAAACCAAACCTAACCTAACTTAACCTAACACTTGTCTGTTTCCTGACAAACCTTACGTTACCTAACCTAATAGAAGAATGAGATTTAGAACGGCATTTTGGTCCACTTGGAGCATTGACTAGCCACACTCCGCGCTTCTGTGTGACCAGTTAACGGTCCAGGTCGGACCAAAACCTGGTCATAAGTTTGCTGTCAGCATTTACCTTTAACAGAAATTAAAAGTCCTTGAATCTCCCATCAGCATTTACCTTTTACCTAAAAGGCCTTGAATCTCCCATAGCATTTACCTTTTACCTAAAGGCCTTGAATTTTCCCATCAGCATTTACCTTTTACCTAAAAGGCCTTGAATCTCCCATCAGCATTTACCTTTTACCTAAAAGGCCTTGAATCTCCCATCAGCATTTACCTTTTACCTAAAAGGCCTTGAATCTCCCATCAGCATTTCCTTTTACCTAAAAGGCCTTGAATCTCCCATCAACATTTACCTTTTACCTAAAAGGCCTTGAATCTCCTATCAACATTTACCTTTTACAGAAATTAAAAGGCCTTGAAGATGCTCTGGTGGAGGCTGAGAGAGAGCGGAGTGAGTTGGAGAAGAATTTCCAGAACCGCTTTGAGGTACACATCCAAGAGGAGAAGGACAAGATTGTACAGATCCTGGAGGTCAGCTTCAGCGAGAGAGAAAAAAAGGCTCTGGAGAGTCTTAGGGAACAGCTGGTACAGGAACACCAGCAGCACGTCACCAGGTGGGTCGGATTTGCTCGTTGCAGCAGCACCAGCTGTGTGTCAGCAAATGTCGGCCAGGTTGTTATTGCTGACGGTCTGGGTGACCAGGCTTGTCTGGTGCTAGCCTGGTCAACCAGGTTGTTACTGCTGGCAAAACCTGGTTGATCAGGCTTGTCTGGTGCTAGCCTGGTCAACCAGGTTGTTACTGCTGACAGTCTGGCCAACTATGTTGTTACTGCTGACAGTCTGGCCAACCAGGTTGCTACTGCTGACAGTCTGGTCAACCAGGTTGTCAGCAGTAACAAATTATGTAAATAAAAATTTTTAAATGCAAATTTGGTAAAAATTGTCAATAATAAAAATTTTTAAATAAGAATTTTGTAAAAATTAACTTTGTAAATAATAAAAATTTCGTAAATGATAAATATTAATTTTGTAAATAATAAAAATTTCGTAAATGATAAATATTAATTTTGTAAATAAAAATTCAACAGTCCAGTTTTTCACATATAATTTTAAAACCGCTGAAGGCATTAAAGAATGGGCATGATGGGATCATGTTTGCTGTCAGGCTGGCGAATGAGCGGGAGGCGGCGGTGCAGGCGGCGTGCGAGGAGGTGCGCACCAAGCTGGTGGTGGAGTGGAGGGAGGTGGTGGAGCAGCAGCACAAGGACCTGGGCGAGCAGCACAGCGCACACCTGGCGCAGTGCCAGCACCAGTGGCAGCTTGACAAGCAAGCTGAGATTGACGCCAGGCTGGCCCAAGTTGTACGTTGTTTGTTGTTGTTATGAGGGTCGACTTGTGTAGTGTCTACTGTAAGAGTCGACTCTTGTGTAGCGTCTAGTGTAAGAGTTGACTCTTGCGTAGCGTCTCGTGTAAGAGTCGACTCTTGTGTAGCGTCGCGTGTAAGAGTCGACTCTTGTGCAGCGTCTAGTCTAAGAGTCGACTCTTGTGCAGCGTCTAGTCTAAGAGTCGACTCTTGTGTAGTGTCTAGTGTAAGAGTCGACTCTTGTGTAGTGTCTAGTGTAAGAGTCGACTCTTGTGTAGCGTCTAGTGTAAGAGTCGACTCTTGTGCAGCGTCTAGTCTAAGAGTCGACTCTTGTTTTTAGCTTTCTAGTGTAAGAGTCGACTCTTGGGTAGCGTCTAGTGTAAGAGTCGACTCTTGTGTAGCGTCTAGTGTAAGAGTCGACTCTTGTGAGGTCTAGTGTAAGAGTCGACCTTTTTTGTAGGCTAGTGTAAGAGTCGACTCTTGTGTAGCGTCTAGTGTAAGAGTCGACTCTTGTGTAGCGTCTAGTGTAAGAGTCGACTCTTGTGTAGCGTCTAGTGTAAGAGTCGACTCTTGTGAAAGTTGTCTACTGTAAGAGTCGACTCTTGTGTAGCGTCTAGTGTAAGAGTCGACTCTTGTGCAGCGTCTAGTGTAAGAGTCGACTCTTGTGTAGCATCTAGTGTAAGAGTCGACTCTTGTGTGGTGTCTACTCTAAGAATCCTGTATATAATCTATTATAAGACTCAACTCGTCTCTCATTAACATTACAGTCTGGCATCACAATAACAGCATTTATCATTCACCTTGAGGTGGTGGTGGCGACACAGGGTGCTCGGTGGAGGGACGAGCAGGATAGCAGTGTGGAGCAGATATGGCATCACAATAATAATAATAATAACATACTAATAATAACATAATAATAATAATAATAATAATAATAATAATAATAATAATAATAATAATAACAATTATCATTGACACTGCACTATGACCCTGTTATTGTGGTGATAACAAACGCAGGATGCTCGGTGGAGGGAAGAGAGGGACAGCAGTGTGGAGCGGGTACGACAGCAGTATAAACTGGAGCTGGAGGGTCTGCGTTCTCGCTTCCGCATGATGACCACGGCCAGCATGGACAAATCCCCCTCCGAGACCTCCCTCGAGAAGTTTGAGGTCAGTGATGTCCTTGTCTTTTGTTTGCTCTTGTTTACAAGTTAATTTTACAGCTTAGGAACTTTTATCCTAACTTAAGTTCATTTTAAAGTCCTAAACTACCTAAACCAGGGGTCCCCAACCTATATCCCGGGGGCCACATGTGGCCCTCCTAAGAAAAGGATGCGGCCCTCACTTAACATTACAAACCCACTTTTATGTACCCACAAACCTACTTTTACATAGGTTCAGTACTGCACAACAATTACCAAAAAAATTTTTGCCATTCGTAAAAATTAGGAAATACAGTGGACCCCTGCTTTACGATCAGCTCCCAATGCGACCAATTATGTAAGTATATTTATGTAAGTGCGTTTGTACGTGTATGTTTGGGGGTCTGAAATGGACTAATCTAATTCACAGTATTCCTTATAGGAACAAATTCGGTCAGTACTGGCACCTGAACATACTTCTGGAATGAAATAATATCGTAAATCTGGGGTCCACTGTATTACTGTCAGTATTTGTGAAAATTACGAAATGTGGCCCTTCCTTAAATTTGGCTTTTCAAATTGGCCCATTCATACTAAGTGGTTGTGAACTACTGGTCTAAGGTATACGACCCCCCTCCCCAGGATGCCACCCACACCAATCCACTAACACCCAGGTACCTACTTATTGCTAGGTGAACAGTGTATGTACACTGAGAAGTGTTTATCTCCGTATATATATATATATATATATATATATATATATATATATATTAAAAATATTTTAATATTTTATATATATATTATATATATTTTTATATATATACAGAGAGGTGTATATCTCAGTGTATATACACAGAGAGGTGTATATCTCAGTGTATATACACAGAGAGGTGTATATCTCAGTGTATATACACGGAGAGGTGTATATTTCAGTGTGTATACACTGAGAGGTGTATATCTCAGTGTATACACCTTGAGATATACACCTGTTTGGCGAGCGATGGTGAACGCATCGCGGTGCCAAGCGACCGGTGCATCCATAACAGTGTCAATTTCCACTTGGCAGCGCGGTGAGTTCGTGGAGCTGGCAGCGCATGAGGCAGCGCTGTCACGGCTGCGGGAGGACCTGGCCAGGGAGACGGAGGCGGCAGTGGAGGCGGCAAAGGTCAACCTCCAGCAGCAGTTTGCGCTGGCGCAGCAGCAGGAGATGTTAAAACATGACGAGAGAAGAAGAGAAGAGCAACGAAGAATGGAAGCAGAGAAACAAGTGAGAGGGAGAGAGAGAGAGAGAGAGTGGGGAGAGAGAGAGAGAGGGGGAGGAGAGAGAGAGAGGGGGGAGAGAGAGGAGAGGGAGAGAGAGAGAGAGAGAGAGAGAGAGAGAGAGAGAGAGAGAGAGAGAGAGAGAGAGAGAG